AAATCTTTCCCAGTAAAGCACGAACGCAGACCATCTTACCTGCACCAGTACTAACTGCTCTTCGTACTGGAAATGCAGCAGAGGGCCAAATGAAAATTACATTACTTTGATTCAAAGTGCTGTGTTGGCTATATCCTGTTTCTCTCTTGATGTGGGATTGAGGGGGCTTGGGTGAGATAGACAAACTCGGACTTTGAGTTACAGTGCTGAGCAAATATGGCCAATATGTTTGGAGTACATGAAACAGCCCAAAACTGTGATGTAGAAATGCTTTTAAAAAATGCATAATTGCCTTTACTTTCAAGACATTTTTTTTTTCTAAAAAGAACTGCTGAAGGACTACCATACAAGAAACACTGTATTTTATAGCTATTTTTCATATAGATTTATAGTTAAAACATCTTACTGAAACACATTGAATATGTTGAAGCAAATATATAGTGGTCACTTTGCTCAACACTGTTTGTGTTTAAATTTATAAAGGACAAGCTGTAGAGCCTTTGTATTCTCCATTACAGCCTGTGGGCAGCTTTTTTAAAATGAAGTGCAACAGCAGCTTTTCCTGTGCCACACAAGGGAGTTTATTTGGGAACTGCTGCAGAAACAGCTGCAAAACTGAGTTTTTGTGGCAGTTTCTAGGTGAAGATCAGCAGAACCACTCAGCCTTGTGTCACCAATGTTACCTGAGCTGCTAGATGTAGATGGCACCTGTGTGGGCAGTGGCACCCTGGTTCTCACACACCTGTGTGGGCAGTGGCACCCTGGTTCTCACACACCTGTGTAGAGAAGGGGCACCCTGGTTCTCACACACCTGTGTGGAGAGGGGCACCCTGGTTCTCACACACCTGTGTGGAGAGGGGCACCCTGGTTCTCACACAAACCATGTCCTGTGGCTGTGTTTGGCCGAAGGCATCCACACGGTGCTCCCGCAGTGTGTGAAAGCAAAGCCTAAGAGACTACTTGCATTTATTTAAAGTCTTATTTCAGATGCTACAGTTGATTAAGAATTGTGAGCTGGCTCAGAAGATACTAAAACTGAAATGTGGGGTAGCAGTTAGTTAAAAGAACATTATTTTTTTTAAAGGATAAAGTAATTATTTGCAGTCAATATGTGCCATTAAGTGAACCTGTGGAATTAGGAATAATCTTCCAACCAAAGTGGATTGGGGTGAGTGACTGGTGCTTACAAATTGAAGAACAATGGTAAATATATGTATACCTATCCCACTGTATATGAACTGAGATTACAGAAGATTCTTTATATAGTTAGAGCTTATTTAAATTTTCATATTTCATCTTTGAAAGAGTCTAAAAACCACAATATTTTCTGGTATAAGAGTTTTGACAGTATTAATCTTATTTTTGTATTTTTCTTAAGTCATATCATTCTAATATGTTAACTACTAGTAAAATGGGTTATTAGTTCTAACTACATAATTTTTCAATGAAGATAAAGCACATTTTTTGGTTTTGGTTTTACAAACTAAGTACATCTATATCTAAAGATACCAAAAAAATAAATACATTATATATATATATATAAATATAAAGTATACACAACACTAAAACTATTAAACATTTGGGTATTTAAAACCCATCCACCTTTTTTGTTTGTATGGTGACGGGCTCTATTTGCAGGCCCAGATTGTTACCTTTTGTGCTGTTTGAGGATGCCAATGTTGCCTGTATTTATGATATTGTCACCATGTTTTCTGAAACTTCATACTTACCATGTTTACAAAGATTTGTTTGCTGTACATAGACTTTTTACAGTAATGTGCTTTGCACAATCAGTGTGGCTTCTGTCTGTAAATTGTTAATGGTCTGTACTACTATAATTTTGAAAACCCTCCACTGAAAATGTTAGTGGTTATTTAACTTCATGAATGGTTTCAAGTTTCCTAAATCTTGTTGTTTAGATCTAATATTAAATCCCAAATTTGGTTGTACTTACTTGGTTATTCATACTAAGACCAAAATGGAAGTTAATGAAAACAACTTAATTTTGAACTTTTTTTCTAACAAGTGCCAAAATGATTGCAGTTTTTGCAGTTTATTCATAATTACAAATGCTGGCAAGTTTCTGGACCTACATAAGTGAATTGTGAAAACAAAGAAAGTTTGTCTGCATTTTGACCACGTGGGTGCTACTCTGTCCTTTGCTTCCGATTGTTCTGAACACTGGTAATTTTAAGAATTGTTGCACTTGGCAAATGAGTCTTGCCCTTAAACTTCACTTACACTGCCAAGTGCAAGGGTTTGGTGCTTAGTTAACTTACCCTTATTGCAGTGCTTCTTGTGAATAGCGAACGCTTCTGAACTGGAACTGTACAGTTTGTATTTTAAAGCTTCTGTAAAAGTAAACTATTTGCTTTATTAAAGATATACATTTAATAGGTCATACCTGTTTAAAATATGCACCTTGCTGAAAATGAGCAGCACCTTAAACTGTAATTTCAGTTTGTAAACAAAGATCTTATTTCATTAACATGGGATTATTTAACAGTTTGAAAATTGTCAACTGCCTACTTACTGACTCTATCATATAAAAATGAACTTTATGCACAGTCCAATCTTTAAAGCTGCTTTCTCAAGTGATGGCACAGAAGAATATGGTACAGACAATGCCTCAGCAGGGTCTTCAAACCAGTAGTACAGGTGATTGTTGCCAAAGTCACGTTACTTGAATTTTTAGGAATCACAGAGTAAGTAACTTTGATGGTAGTAAGCAAAAAGTAGACTCTGTCCCTGTTATGAGATCAAGGCTATTAGGTTAGTGTGTGTTAATTGTGGCACTGGAATGCCATATGCAGGGTGTGTAAAGCTGCTTTTTTCCTTCCTGGGTAGGAGCACACAAGCAAGCACCTGGCCAACATGCTGCCAGTACCCAGGAAGCACATGAACCCATTTTGATTATGCAAGAATTGACTTGTTTACAGAGCAATTCAAACACGGAGAAAAAGCCTTAATAAACTTGGGCAAAAACTTGCTAAAGTAATGGCTTGGTTTCTCCCTTGCACATAATTGCTCAGTGGTGCAGCAGTCCCACTTAAAGGAAAGTTAACACTTCTGTTTGACTAAATCACAGAGCAGCTCCTTTGTTAATGCATTACATTAATTTAGCATATACTACAATTTACAAAGAACATCTTTAGTTTATTTAGCACAATTGTTCTGATACAGGATACAAGAGTCTACTGCTTTTATATATGGAACACGTGCCTGACTTTGTCATGTTGGAGGTATGAGTCACCTACCATAACATTTGTTATTACAGAGCCTTACTCATGAAATGGGCTCTGCTTCCCATAGTGCTGTCCTGACAGCCCGGCTATTCCCAGAAGTACACCGAATTGAGTTTTTCAGAGGGAAAAGGGAATGTGATCATTCTTAAGCTCTGTTAGTTACAGTAACAGGGGAAAAGCTGGCCTAATACTGCACTGAAAACTACTTCACATTTTAAACACAGAAGTACAGATCACTTTTTACCTGCTTTTTTTCAAACACACACTTTCTTGGCTCTCTAAGAGGAACTCTAAACTATTTCTACAGCCTCTGAAAGCAGCACTGCTCACATCCAGGTATTGCAGTCAGTCTACAGGCTTCTGTGTGCTGGGCGGAGTGGCATCAGCAATTGTAGCTAAATAAATGAGGTTTCTGTGCAGGATATGCTGGTACCTGTGAGAGGAGGAAACACAGGATCTGGTACATGTTCTTTTCTAGACAAGTACCCATACTTGCACTGGTGTACTCTGATTAATATTTGCAGTTAGGGAAAAAACCCTGCGAACTAGAATAGTAAGTCAGGGGAAACTTGTCTTGCTCTTACTCTGAATCCCGGTACAGCACACTGAACTGGACTCTTCTAGCCGAGCATGTGCTACTACCCCACATCGATGGGAAGGAGGACATTCAGCTCACAACCCTGAAAGCCGCCGAACGGCAGCGGAGCAGGAGAGGACAGAGCAGCCTGTGGGGCTGGTCAGAGCAGCTGCAGCGGCTCCCCCGCAGGTTCTGGAGCGGCAGAGCCTCCGCCTGGCTGCCCTGTTGGGACACGGCTCGGTGTGCCACACACAGGCACGGAGGGCAGAGTGCACGTCACAGCAATACTGAGCAAACCCCCTGACCAACACGGCGGGGTCGCTCCATGCTTTATACGTCTCCGAAGATGTTTTTGGGGAAATCCCTTTGCAAGCCCAGACGCATTTTCCTCTTGGCAGTAGGAAAGCTCTAGGAGGCTCGAGCCGAGTTTCACTCCCGTTACCGACACCTGGGCTCCCAGCGCTCCGCCCTGCCCGCCCACGTCGGTCACTTACTGCACACAGTCGGCGGCCCGGCCCTTGCTCTGGTACTCCACGATGCACCGGATCAGCTGGTCGTTCTCCTCCAGCAGCTGCGGCACAGAGCGCGGTCACCGCCCGCCCCGGCCTCCGTCCCGCCCCGCCCGCCTGTGCCCCANGGCGCTCCCGCCGGGGCTGCCCCGAGCCCAGCCCGCCCCGAACGCAACAAACAAGCGCCGCCGTGCCGCTTTTACCCAACAGTTTATTCTGGTTTCAAATTAAAAAAAACAGAAAGCCTGGGCGGGCAAGGGCGGCGCAGGGTTTGCCCCCGCCCGCGGCTCCCGGCCCGGGTATTTACAGCTGGAACACCTCAGACAGTAAAGAGTTATTGCAACAGGACAGCACTTGCCTCTACGGTCAAAAATCTCAACAGGTGTTCAGAATCATGACTTGTGGATCCCAAAAGGCAGTTGTTAAACATGCAAAAACATTACTAAACAATATTATCTAACTTCTACAGCTGTCAAATACTTGACCTTAATAAGGAAACCAATTACAAAATACTTCCTTGTAGTGCTATACAAAAGTTATAAAATTAAGATTCTATCAACCACTTTTAAATATTCCAATTTTTCAACAGTGCAGTTTTTTACGTCTTTATCACCACTGAACATTTTGAAGTAAAAAAAAAAAAAAAAAAATCAGCAAATTAGATCAAAGTGATGTAATCTTTGGATCCCTTTATTCCTGTGGCCTTCATATACATACACAGACACAAATGACCAGGTTTCTATTTCAGCATATCAGAAAGTTGCAACTAGTTATCCAGAAGTGGCAAAAAGTCCATACTGTCATTTGTGACTTCGTGGTCTTAGAACCAGAGTCTCAATGTCTCCAAGCTACGGTCTATCAAAATGCAAACAACTTCAAACACTAAGAATTCTTTAAATTGCTCATTTCTACAGGTATTACAACAAAGTTAACGTTTCAAGAATTGACAAATGGAGACAGACTTTTATCCCAGGCATTCCAGGAGAATCACCAACTCGTGTGCCTGGTCCATTATTAAAAAAAGTTAATATTTCTCACTAAGTAAAATTAATTGCAAATCTTGACATATGAAAATTCCTTTTCTCCTTTTCTTTGAAAATATCTCCTTAACTTGGTCAAATCCTGTGATATGCCAGAAACTACAAAATCAAATTCTTGCAAGAGCAGTGAAGCGTGTATCCAGTTTTGTGTAATGGAAGAACATTTTCAAAACTTCATTATAGTCCAAATATAAAATCAAACATTTAAGCTTGAAAAGCTGCTAAAGAAAAAAAACCCCAACTAATTCAGTGTTCTTCAGCATATCAACTTTCTGCAATAACAGTATGTTTACCGACTTAAAAATGTTTATTCTTTAAAAAATTAGTTGCTTTTTATACAGCTATACAAAGTTTGTAATGTTTCTTTGGCAATGGGATATAATGGAATTTTACAACTATATAAAAACTTTCCTTTGCCTAAGAAACAGTATTTACTGTGTGTACATATCTGACTGACAAAGCAAGTTTTCTACTGTCCAGCACCCTAGTTGATACAAGAACAACTACCTCAAAAGGGATTTTACAGGATTTCCAAAAAACAACCTTCGGTGGGTCAAAACACTCACAGTATCGACGGCCTTCTGCATACCATTGTCCTTACAACTTGAAGCAATTATCAAATACAGTTTAGTAATAAGAAAAATCCTTTCAGTGATGAAAAAATACTTAAACTCCATCGAAGTACTGCTTATAATTAACTATACATAAGAAATTACTTATCCTTCTGTCTCAAATATATTTAATGCTTACTGTTTTCAAAGATGGCCATTTCTCAAAAGTAACTGCATTACACCCCTTTGAAATTAAATAGTTAAATCCCAGTGCTGGTGACAAGTATACAGCAAATTCATTCTTTGCAGAGATCAAAACTATTTCTCTGATTCAAGAAGATCTAGACGTTCACCTGGTTTCAGCTTTCTTGTAGACTACGCAGCAACTTTGTTGTCTTTCTAGAGGGAACAGAAGTACAGTGTTAAAATTGCAAAACAACCTTACAAACCAATCTGGGCAACAGCCCTGGGAGCAGTTGTGCTGTGCTGGCTATTCCCCATGTCCAGCAGCAGAAGGGAGACCTCCGGAGGAGATCAGGTTGGCATCTGGTCAAAGCCCCTCAGTCTGGCAGTGAGTAGAGCCAAATAGAAGCACAGCACAAATCCTCAGCCCTTACACCATCTCCTACTCAACTGGAAGGCAGCAAGATCTTGTTTAGAAATTCAAATTGCTAATCTTCGATCCCTCATTTCCATTCGCTTTCAGCTACCCAAAGTTTCTTTTAGTCACAGGACTAACTGTTGCGAACTAATCAAGGAATAGCTGAGGGATGTCTCACAACAGAGAGGAATATGCTGTGATGAAACCCCTCTTTTTTAATTAAAAAAAAAATTTAAATTTCTATCAAAGATCAGAGATTTTTGTTTGCAAAACTCTAACTGCTCATGCAGTAAACTAACAGAAGTTGCTCTACGGTCCCAGTCAGAACTCTAAAAGCCTAGTTTATCTGAACCAATCTGGATTGTTGTCTTTGTTACTGTTTTTAACCAGTACACCAGTCAATAGGATTTGTGCCAACTCATTTCACAATGATTCAGAAGTTTGTTGCACACTGGAAGCAAGTTAAATTATTCCTTCTCATTCTTTGTATTTTACAATATTGCTTGGAAAATGCTTGCAATTTACATTTCTAACACTTGCATTCCATCTGTAGAACTCTTTTTTCCCCTTTCTTTTTTTTTCTCCTCCCCAATACCATCTATCAAATAGCTATTCAGGTCATGTGATGAAAGACAACCTTTATTTTTGATTGCTGTTGATAGTAAAATGATGCAATGTAACTAAAATTTCAGCATTAATGGACTTTGAAAAAGTAGCTCAGAGTCCCTGCTGAATGCCGCTCAAGAAATTCTTGTTCAACATCAAATCTAAAGGCAGGAGATTTTGAGCACTCCTTTCCCAGAGCAGTGGATTGGGTCAGAGCCACGTGCAGAGCACCTTACCCTATACTCGAAGTCAGCGAACTCCCTCCCTCCGCGGCCTCCTCGGAAGCCACCGCGGAAGCCGCGGGAGGCGGGGAAGCCGCCCCTGCCGCCCCCCCGGCCTCTGCCCCCTCGGAAGCCGATGACGCCCCGGCCCCTGTAGCCGCCGCGGCCGCGGTTGGGGCGCAGGGGGATGCCGAAGGTCTCGGCGTTCAACCGCCGCTCCTCGGCCCAGGTCGGTCGCCGCTCCCTGCAGCACAGAACGAACACGGATTGCTGTGAAACACTTGGTGAGGAAGGGAGAGGCGCCAGAAAGCGCCTGAGATTAAAAATGATGCATTAATCACATGGGAAATCTCCATGGTATCCCTTCCACAAGAACCCAGGTGTCTGCTACACTTCACTGGACTCATCAAGAAGGAACATATTACAGAGTCATTAATTAGATATTAATAATGCTCTAAGAGTTTGCCATACTGAAGAACACACTCTGCATCCTCTGCACACAGTATCATTTAAACCAAGAAACAGTTTACAGTTACAGATGTTATTTTATCTGGCTTCGAGTACAATCAACAACTCCCCCTCCTGCAAGTCAAAATAGGTCAGCAATCCACATTGACATGTCTAATAAAAATGCAGCAGCACAAGATAAGCTTTAATTTTCCTGAAATGATTTCTGCCCACTTGAATAACACTACTAGCCAAGACAGTTATGTAATCTGCTTAGAAACCATTATAAAAGCAGGGTCATAATTGATTTAACTGAAGTGTTAATTTAGGACCAAAGCAAAACAAACAAAACAAACCAAACCCCCCCATCTTAGTAAATCTGGGAAGGAGATTCTAGAGCCTGTGCATTAAGTTCTAAAAGCATGGCTCTAAAACATCTTAAAATACCTTGCTATGACCACATTGCACCTGCCCACAAAGAAATTTTGTGCTTCTCATTTCTGTTTTATTTTTGCCAGCTGCAGAGGAAATAAGCTCTAATCACCTTTGATTAGAGTTGACTGGAATCAGTAGCACTGACAGTACTGTAAAATATAGACATGCATTAAGCACACTAACAAGCTTCTCCTTGCAGGACATACCTATTGTCATCACAGGAAATGTTATCAAAGAAGGATTTGGTTTTGTCATAGTAGCAATTGGGTCCAAGTGGATCTTCCTCATCGGCATTCCCTTCGCTGTTTTGGGTATCAACACCTGAGTCACCTTTGTCTTCTCCATTTACAGGCTTCTCTGGTTTCTCAAGTTTATCTTCTGGAAAACAAAAAGAAAACAGAAGCCTAAAAAATCCAGCAGTATCCACTTCTTCCCAGTCAGAGAGGAACTATACTGAATGCTACAAAAATAATTCAACATGGAAGTCAAATAATTTCACATGTAAATTAGAAGGTATTGCTGCTGCTGTCTGGAAGTTTCTATGCTTCCTGTGGGTTTAGTTAAAAAAACCCTGTGCAGAATTAATCTGATAGCCATCTATTTTCTCCCCTCTTTAGCTTCCTCCTTCCTGGGCTTAAGAGCCTCATTCAGTGAATCCTCCTGAAAGCCATCCCATGGTTTTGTTCATCCCTGTTGTCCTTCTCCTTTGTCTTCTGGTTTTGCTGTTATCTCCTTTAAGACGCAGGGCCAGCATTCTGACTTTATGTTGTATTTATTTCCTAATAATGCTAAAAGTTCAGCTTACTGTTTTGACTGGTACTGAAAACAAAGCTGACAGCTCAACACCTGCAGCTATTACTATCTTCAAATCTCATTCCTAAATGTATACAGCTTAAATCTCACAATGCTGTGCATAAACTTCACGTAACTAGCTCAACCTTTCCACACCACAAGAATTACCACACTCAGAAACATTTCTACAGCTATTTATAGCTATGAATTATACTCTATATAATACATATTATAAATAATATTATAAAATACTATAATACTAATATATTATGCATATAAAATGGATATAGTATTTTATATATATTTTTTTATATATAATTTGCATAATATTATAGCTTTCCCTTTTCCATTTATTATTCTGAAAAAAACAACAGTACCAACAGCAAACCAGCTCACTGAAAAATGGTCCAGAAAAACAGGCAAGCACCACAGGACAGATCTTATGGGACTCAATGGATGTTTTTATTCTACACTGAAATCTGACCGTTTATTCCCACCTTTTGTTTCCCAGCTTTTAGCCAATCATTCACTGAAATAGGGAACTCACTATATTAACCTGCAACAATTTTGTCCAAAAATAGTAGCAGCAGTGCAACAAACAGGTGGCTGGTCACAAGAGAATGAGGTAATCAAAACAGAATCCTGCTAGAAAACAAGTGCTGGCAGCATGGTTTCTAACTACTCCTGGGTTCCTCTGGAAAAGGATAAAAGCAAGGAAATACTAGAAACCTTCAAACAAACTCTCCTGCATACTACAGTGAAGTTCTGATCCTAAACTCCTTTGCTTTTGGTCTGTAATTGACATTATAATTTTGGTCTAATAATTGAAAACCTAAAATATGGATTTTCTTTTATTGCATCCTTTCCAGAACTTTAAAGTCACAAACATTATTGGGACTTCTGGGTAAGTAATCTGCATTTTTAACAGAGACTTGTTAGAACGTCACAAATAATATCTGCTAGCTATAATTTTTAAAAACTCAAACACTGAGCCAAGTATTTAATTAACGTATGATCCCAGTTTACTTATTAATTGGTTTTTAAATTTATTTTTTAATGACTGCGAACAAGACTTAATACTATATGCCTTTTAAGAGTTTTCTCCAAGGTAGGATCAAAACAGCAAGATAGCTTTTCCATGCTCAAACCTAAAGCAAAAATTGGTTTACCTTTTAATTTAAGTTTGTTATGAAATTCTCTATCAATTTCCTCCTTATTGAATTGTGCATTTGCACTTTCAAAGTCAAAGTCCTTCTCAAACTTCATTGGACCATCCCTCCTAATACCAAATCTTCCTCGGCCCCCTCTGTGACCTCCACGGCCTCTCCGTGCTGCAGGTGCACCTGGAACTGAAAAGAGGGAAATTCTGTTTGGTTTTGTTTTGTGGATCAGCTTTCCTCTGAGGGTGGTGGAGGGTATTTTGGTTTTTTGGTTTGCTTTCTCATTCCTGGGGTAACAGGTTGGGACTTCAGAAGTGCATGAAGAGAATGCCTGTTGTTTAATGTCTCATCAGAGCAACTTGTAATTTGTAAATTCACTTACAGTAACGATGGCACAGACAGCATAACAGTACTGAATCTGTGTGTCAAAAGACTCTCTAAAAGTCATTAAAAGCTCTTGGAAGAGGAGTTAAAATATTAGTAGTGTTTCAGTCAAGTATTTTTCTAGAAAGTCTTATTTCATACTATTATGTTTATAAATCCCTGAATGGTCCCTGATTTACGTTTTTATTTAAATTGATTGCTTAGTATAAACCAACAAGAAGAGATTTTTCTCTTTAATGTTGACTTTATTTACTTGTATTCTTCTGGCTCAAGGCAAAATTGCTACCCTCTCAAGGCAAAATGTGAAAGAATTTATTTATTTTAGCAAATTTAAAAAAAACTTATTGGTCTGAAAACAATGATAGCTATTTCTCAAAACATGATTTACCAATTTGTCGTTTGTTTTCATTTCTGAGTTCATTTTCTGATCTTGAAACCTTGTGTGCTTCAGCTAAAGTTGGAAATAAAAACATGATTTGTTTATCCAATTAGGTATTTTTGATCATACTTTTGTATATATAGTTCAGATTTCAAAAAAAATCCAAACCTATAAATGGAAACCACATGTTTAATTCATAAAAGAAAAAAAAAATATTTAGAATATATGCTTAAATTTAAAAAGAAATATGTATCTAATCCAGATCTCTGCTGGCCAACCTACCAGTAATAGACAGCAGGACAATTCCTATGTATTACCCTTTAAGAGAGCACTTTGTATGTGTATGGAAGGAATTAAGCTGTATGAAAACTATCCAAAGCTACCTCGTCTGTGCTCTTGGTTCTCTAGGGATTTTTGGCTTGCAGACACCAAAGGTCTGGTTTGTACAGGACTCCTCCTCCCAACGGGTGCTGGAGTGGGCAGGTGGGCTGAAGCTGTTTGTACAGCTTGTTCCATGGTGGGGCTCCTTCTCAAATGGTCCATCTGAGGGCTTGAACGACCTTGGGGAAAAAATAAAACAAAACCAAACCCCACAGGATTATTTCTCATCTACAAAGATGAGTTACTGGTCTCAACCAATCTAGACTCACAAGTTTATCTGGCTGAGCAGTCAAGACAGCTGAGTCAAAAAAAAAAAAAATTCTGCAACATCAGATCCACTAATTCAGAATAAAGGATATTTAGAAATACCCCTTCCTCCAGCCTAAAAGGAAATAATGGGCAGAACACCCAATCCCTACCAACCCATTAACTATGTGCATTTAGCTGAGGAATGAAACTTTGGCATTGATTGGAGATAAAAATGCTCCTTCTTCCTCCCTAGGATGTCAAGTGGGAAGGGGCTGCTCCCCAAGGCAGCAGTGCTGCTGCTTAGGCTCTGCTGCAGGATCTCTGCCCGTGCAAGGACAGCTGTGGGAGCTGCCCCACACAGCACTGCTCACACACAGCCACGTGCAGCACGAGGGGCTGGAGGCAGCAGCACCATCAGAACGGAGCCACTGATCCAGCCAGACAAGTTTACAACATCAAATAGGTAAATCTACGCAGAAATTAGAATAAGACTCAAGTCCCAGTGAATAAAAGAACAAGGCTCTATCTCATTACAAAACAAAAGGAAAACAAAAAATAAACCAAACCCACATAATCCTATGAACGAAACAGAACACAACAATAAATCCAACCATCCCACGCTTGCAATCTACGAAGACCAAAAATATTTTCCAGAGCAAACACACTGAGAAAAAACCTGTTAATGCCCCACAGGAAATGCTGTGGCAGAATGTATGTTCACCTGGAGCATAAGTCATATATATTCATACATGTCCATGAATCATACAGGCTTTAAATACAGAAACTCAAACTACTGTTGCAACAGAGAAAGTCTCAGCATACTTTTGCCCCTTGAATAAATCCAACAAAGTAGAACCTATCTTTGGCAACCCACTCAACTAGTCCTAGAAACACTCCTCATGGATATACAAATGGAATTTAGGAAAAAACCTGTTTGTTATAAGTGTTTTGCCCTTTAAAATGACTGCATAATTTAAAAATGGCATTAGGAATATATCTTGGCACATACTTTGACAGTAAGGAAAAGTGGAAGAGCAGGAAATAATGGGGTTTGAGTTTTCAAGGAGCAATGTTAACAACATTTGCACAAAGGGTGAGGGTGAAGTTGCCCAATGTTTGCTTTCTTTTTTCTTTGCCATTCAATCATTATCATTATCATCCGGAATCTAATTTTTTCCAGTATTACATAAACTATCCATACAGTTCCTGTTACTATTTAGCTCACTTAAGTGTCATGTCACTATCTCTACAAGAAATCAAGTCTGCTGTTAATATCATATATGTAACTATACATGAACAGAAGAACTACAGTTAGGAATAAAGATTTTACAATTTTAACCTGAAGGACTTTCCATTTCAATCAGTATGAAGTATCTGCAGCTCTGGCATGTTATCAGTAAAACTAAATACTGAATTTCCACATGTACTTCTTTGCTAACATTACTTCACATAATTAAGTCCTATTTCTCAGTACAGATGCTTTAAAGGTAACAATAAATGCATTACTACCTGCAGCAGTCCAAGATGTAGAGAAAACACATTTAAGAGCAAACACAAAGCCTCTCTGTGTTTCCTAGGTTTAATACCAAGTGTTTTCATGAGAGAATTCACCTGTTTGGTTGGCATTTCCAGCAACCACCAAAATCACAAGGACACAATTGTTCAAAGAAAGACTGAAGTCACTAAAAAAGATTTTACCTTGAGACATCTGTGATTTTAGTGATCTTGCATCTGTTGTAAATGCAGAACCAACTGCAGTGCTTTGGGACATGCTAGCACTGCCTGAAGAGTCTGTTCCAAAAGATGTTAAAGAACCTCCTGCTTTGAAAGAAATAATATAGTTGTAAAATGTGTTTTAGAGTTGTTTTTTTTTTTAATTAGCACTAAATGATTAGTGAAGCTTTATTAGGCAGTTATTCTAGAGTACTCGTAAGTCTGCCCATCCCATACTTTTTGTTTAATAAAAAAGATGTATGCTCATAAGCTGGTAAGACTAATATCTTGATTTTTTTAATCTAAAATGAAAAAGAGCACTTCTAACTTCACCATCACAAGTATCAACAAAACACAGTCATTTTACAGAGCCATACGTGTTATTGGTACATATCTCCATTTACGATCCTTTCAGCAAAAATATGACTGCCATATCTTAATTAATTGATATCAAATTACAGCCAATTCTACAGCCTTTCTTTCACATGGCTAACATTTTCAGTACCAGGTGTAATACTGCTGCCATAACAGTTAAAAGACTGTAAGTTCCTATGAGAAAAACTAAGCTGTGAAATAAACTCTCAGGGTGGAAGGCAAGCTGGTTGGTCAGTCTCAGAGAATGTGCAGGATAAAGGAGCAAGTAGCCCATGCAGCTCACAAACACTTCCAGTGCCTATTTCCCACCTAACCAACACCTCACGAACAGCTGGAAGACTGTGCTGGTACATGGCTGCTGAATAATCCAAATCCTTAGTTAAGGCACACAGCGCCTGATCAACCCAACAGCACAGCTATGGGGCTTCTCTGGAGGGGCTGCCTCTACCACTTGTGAAATATAATGAATACTTGTTCCTCTGAGGTAGGTGTTTAGTTCTCAATCATAATTATTTTGATTTAAGATGCAAAGACTGTGAAGAACTCTCTACTTTTGAGCTAAACTGCAGAACTAACAGAGACGAAGGACTTAGATTCTGCCTTAGGATAAGACTGATGAAATTCTAAGCAGTGACGACTGTCTGTGCACACACAGAGCTTCACTCCCAGGAAAACACCTACCAACTCCCACAGCGCCGAACTGCTGCCCCACCAGCGGGCTCGGGCTGAACTGACTGTACGCAGGCATCCTGCCAAAAGGACCATAGGACCCCACAGACTGGAATGAAGATGTAGTCGAAGATCCTAGTGAAGACTAAAGACAAAACACACACACACTAGCAAAAATGCGTATTTACACAAAAATTAGGAAATAGTTCTGTGAGGCAAGAAATGTAGAAACTCTAAAATAAACATTTTCTAAAGTATGTACAGCTTAGAAAGCACTTTTACCCTTCCACCATGGCAGACCTGTGGAAACAGTACCACAGAATTTTGCAATCTTCCCTATAACCTCAGACACCGGACTCTCTTGTCCGACACACAGATACAAGCTTTGTTGGTAAATTTAGAAAGAGTCCTATCTTTCAAACCCCACAGGTACAATAAGACACCCAAGCATACTGGAGAAGGCTGGGGTTACCAGTTATTTGGGTTCCCAGTAACACAACTTCACTCTTGACTACAACTGAGAAGGACTTGCACCAAGTTTAATAAAAGTCCGTGGAGAAACGCAAAGGCACCTTGTAAGGAAGTTCAAGAATTTTATCCTACAGAATAGATAAAGCAGTAGAATCGTATTACACAGAATTATCAACCTCCATTTGAAGCAAGAGATTTCCCCTTGCTCTCAGGGATAATTTCAAGATACCCCATAAGCACAATCAGAGGCAACAAATTTCTGAGGAAACTCTTTATCAGTCTGTTTACTACAAAATGGCAGACTAATTAAATCTGAAGGCTTCAAGTTTTAAGTTGCTTTCCCCTCAGAAACCAAGTACTCATTATTCAAGTAACTGCCTTATAGTATGAAGCCTGTTTAAAAACACATAACTAGATGAAACACTTTAAAGTTATAGTCAGCAAAAAATGTTGAACATTAAAACAAAAATAACACAAACAAGCAAACAAAAGCAAAATCAATGATCTGGAGATATTTCAGCATCTACTCCATTTGATTTATAGCAAGTCTGATCTTCCCAAGAACTATGTGTCCTCCTAAGCCAAGTCCTTTTCAAAAAAGGCATCAAGACCTACATAACATCCTCAGTTGGTTTTGAAAAGACAGCAGCTTTGGTATGTAGTGGACAGTGCAAGAGTTAGATTTCAACCTTCATTTTCACAGTTAAAACTGTGAAAGGAGAAAATACTTTCAGAGTTCTTTACCATTGCGTTGTGAACCTTACAGTGATAAACACTTTAATTTTTAAGCACTCAGCTAGAGAGCACTTAACCTAGCAAGTTACCTCTTCAGCAACAATTATTTACAACTCTGTTTTGACATACCTGAACAATAGCAGGGTCCTGTGGCAAGGAGCACTGAGGTTTCGGTGGCTCACAAACAGTCAGGTCTTTAATGTCGCTGCCACGGAATATAATGTACTCAAAGACTTCATCGCGAGGTGGGATGGGTCTGTCCGTCGGTCTGTCTTCTGTACCAAAGGAGCGAACTGCAAAGTTGGGAAGAGAGAAAAAGAATGAAATGTCCCACATTCAACAAAAGGGTTTAAAATATACAGAGACCGACAGCTTTAAATAATAAAAAAATAAAATTTCATTGAGAAAAAAACTTTTATTGAATTGGCATCATATTCTTTATCATTATGAACTCTCCTCAGACAAACAAGTAATTTTAGCTAAAAATTCTGAGTTAAAATCCAAGCTGAAAGACTGAGAGATCATTTATGCAACCAATTACATGTTGAATATTTCAACTGTTTTGTGAAGGTAAGGGGAAGCAGCAGAGCAGGTTTTTTTTGTCTGGTAAGTCAATCCTATGAATCAACGAATAGACGAGTTTACATACTTCATATTTCTGTATTTGCAAAACAGGAAAAATATGCTAATACTACTAGAAGCTGGAATATTAAAAATTATCACATGTGAATTTCTCAAGAGATTAAAAATTTAATAAAACAACAAGAATTCTGTGGTATGTATATACAATTTTCACTAAGCAAAATGCATTCTTCCTGGTGTAAGGCTCATATGATCTCTGCCAAATTAGGTAAACTCACCGGGGCATAACTATCTTCCTAGTGTGCACCATACCAAGACATTAAATTCCTTGTATGAATTCCAACAGCTTTCTGACTGCACAGCAAAGAAGCAATCAAGCTTTTCCTTTTGCACTACGTATAATCACTACATTATACAAGTGATACCACCACTTTGCTGTCACTGCCCTCTCAGAAACTTTTCCTCATCCTTAGACTGCCAACCCTTGGTGAGTATCAAATGAAACAAACAAATAACTGAAGAAGAGATTTGTCTCAAAGGGCTAGTTTTGTAAGCAAAAACTAACCAATGGATTAAAACCAGAGAGGGGAAAAAACCAAGCCCCCAAAATCATGACAGTCACATTCAATCACAATCTCATCAACTTGTAGCGGCTTTAACAATCCCTCATGACTTTTTCCTCCAGCCTTTCAGAAAGTGTTTGCTTTGCAAGGTACAGGTTATGCTGAGGAAAAAAAAAAATAAAAAAAAATCTGTACTTTGCTTTAATTTACCAGAATCAGATTTCCCTCCATTTTCAGATGCATCAACATTTTGGAGACATCATTAGGCACTTTTTTTCAGCCACAGAATCATTAGTCAAGAAAAGCAGTCTCCCATAGAGATGCATAAAGTAATTCTGAGTCATTTCTCAGGCTGCACCAGCCATCTTCCATCACTGTTGCTTCTTGTGATACTGCATAAACAGAGCTTAACAGTCAGGTATTAAATTTTTTTCAAGAAGCATAATTCAGGGGTAAAGAGATCGTGTCCATATTACAAAGAAAATAGTATTAAGTGGTTACAATTATTTTGTTCATGTATCATCTAGTGAGCTAACTTTCATTATCTTTTGTGCTTCTGTGCATCTGAAAGTCTGCTCTGAACGGTACTACAAAATGTGAGCAATGTAAAAAGGCACACACTGTTTAGTTAATGTCAGTCCTTGTTAGAAGAGGAATCTGTCTTCTTTTCCTCTACAGAAAAAAGTGTCTGAAGCTTAAGAATTTGCAGAAATTAACTCAAAGTAACACACAGTAGCTTAATAATATTATCAATGGGTCGTGTGCATTCCTTGCTTTTTATTCACCAGGCTTTTCTATTTCACTATCTTAACCATGGATCTACCCTCTTTCTTTTTTCTTTACTTTCTTTTTCTTTTATACTCTAATTTATCAGATAATTAATAAATTATCTTGGACTTTCATTCCATCATTTGACCTGCTGCCTTGGTAAGTAAAACCAAAGTTTATTCTGTACTGATTCTCTCTGTTCCATACTGAAATGGTTTCTCCAGTAGCCATTTTGTCTACAAAGGTGAACAAAAATGGCCAGAGTATGATCAGGAAGTTACCAAACATTTTACCTTCTAGCTAAAGTGAAGAAACTACTCTACAGCAACACTACAGAGAAAGGGTAGAAAGTTAGAGGGTTGCATTTTGCCTTTACATGGAAATAAAAATCTGATGAACTGAGGAAGAAATATGCTTTGAAAGTATTTCTCTTAAGTCAGAGCTACACTGGACACTAACACTACACTGTTCTAACACCTGGTAATTACCTTTCTCCATTCTAAACCAATTAAAAAAAAAAAAAGAGAACCACCAGACTTTCATCTACTAACGTGCTGAAAGAAGCAAAGGGATTTCAGTGCATGTTAAAAAACAATGTCTTTCTCCACACCATGAAATTATCATAACATCAAAAGGAAGTTTTTCAATGCCAAAATTTAGAACTGATCTTTAAGAGATTCAACTGTCTATGCAGCTAACTCAAGCCACTGATATGGTTGCCAATGGTTTAGCAATAAAACACATCAAGACTTGCTACTAAAAGTTTGATTCTTCCTTTATTTCTCTCCTGCTTCAAATCAAACTGGTTTTACCACAGCCTTCTGCAAAATATAAACACAATTTCATCCAATGAAAATTTGCTCTGCTGGAGAGAAGTAAACTCCCCTGATTTGCAGTTCAGACTCACCCTCTTGCCACAAGCAACCAAAATAACCACCCCAAGTCCAATTTCCTTTTAAAGCAGGAACCAGAACTGCACGTACAGCAATCTTAGGAAGGGCTACTTAATGAGTCCGCCCCAGTCAGAGTAGCGTTCAGGAGCCGAAAGTTAGTTTTTGTATTTTGCAAAGGCATACCTCTCTTTACAGTTTCTGTCTTCCTCACTTAGATTAGGATTTAACACAATCTGAGCTCATGAAAGTAATTAGTCTAATATTAGAAGTGGCCTGTATTAACAGGATTTTAGAAAGAAATAGCTTTTACCATGTTTTTCTCATACTCAGAAATATTAAGTTGCCAGAGTATCAAGAGCACAAGGTATTGCAGCAGCAGCAGGCTTAGAGCTGTATCCAGCTCTGTCTCTTGAGGAATTTCCTCAGACTACTTCCTTCCTCCAGAACAAGGTGCAGTGGTTCATATATAGCAAAATACTGAACAGCGAGGGGAGATGAAAATAAGCACGTGAAAGACAATCTTACAACTGTGGTAAATCTAATTAATCTTACCTTGTCGATTTCAGGATTGTTTTTTTCTTTGGTTTTTGAAAGAGCTAAACTGCCCTAAGGACTAGCAAACAAAAGGACAAACAGTACATGTTAAAAACAAACTTATTTTTTGTCAGTGTAAATACACACAATTAAGTAGCTAGCTAAAATATCTAACTCTCTCGAGCCTATTTATTTATATATTTGTGCCCAAGTAGTTCCATCAAGTTCATATTAAAGTGCTGTGAGCAACTTTTTGTACAGATTTTGACTGTGATATTACTACTATACAATATTTTAATGCATATTACCATATTTTACTACTGTAGCATTCAATGGAACATTGCAGCTTTCCCTGTCAGTTAATAGATATGATTACTTGTTGATTAACACAGGGAATCTAAGCCGAATCTTAGTCAGAAGTGAAGCCACTGACACCGTTAGCAAGAGGACTGTTTCCCTACAGCGTGAACTACTGCAAGCAGTAGCTCAGTCTGTGCACAGCACTGACACTCTTTCCTCACTCCCTGAGGAGCAAACACACACAGAAACCAGCTCCTCCTTGCTCCTAAGGCACCCAGGAGGAGCATGATGACTGAAATGAGAACACCACAGGGGAACAAATCATTTCCAGGCTCATTCCTCCACAACAATTAACTCAGCCTGCATTCCCTTACTTGCAGGAGATGGATGAGGGCAGTAGCCAGGAGTAGGCTTCGACAAGAGGAATTTTTCTGCTGTGACATACTGTGCACGAGTTTGGTTTGGCACACATGCCCTAACCTTCAAGACCCACAAGGAGCATGTTACTTAACTGACTAAAAACTGACTAAAAACATTCATAAACTATTGATAGAAAATTAACCCTTCTCTTTCCTGCTCCCACACCTGAATGAGCTCAACTCTTCACAAGATTTTAACTTTCCTCTGCCTTTGTCTTTCACCTGCAATTAATGTTCAGTAGAAGTCTAAAAGGGAAGTTTTCCTTTTGATGTGTCATTATGCCATGAACAACACTATCACAGACGGCTGAAAAAGCCAGAAGTTAAACTACTTTTTTAAATTACCAAAAGCTGTTTCATTAATATCTATCAATTATAATGGTTCCAATGCAACTCTCAATGGTCTGAGAGTTGCTAAGTGAGAACTGATGCATTATAGCAGAGACAATATATAATTTTGTTTCTTATACTCACATACCTAAGGATTCCCTGTTGTTAAAGCCACAAAGCCTTTTCTGACCCAACACTGTTGTTCCCACACAGCTTACCTGCATTAAAAATAACTCTCTCTAAAACAGTGCCTTGAAATAGGAAAGTGTTATGTATAACTAATAATGAAAGATCACATCTCCTTTTTAATGCCACATTTAAGATCAAGCACTGTGATTATTCTGTAAATGCCCCAGGTAGGGCAGCAATCATTTTCCAACAAGAAAACTAACAATGGCTTGCAAAGTCCTCTTAAATTGCTTGGACTTAATGAGGTTTTAAAAATTAACGATTTTTTTAAAAACTAAATGTTAACTAGAACCAGTAACTAGAAGGACATTTCAAGTTATTCTAACTTGAGGCTTAACAATAGGAGTGGGTTTTGGTTCCAGACACTGTCTGTGAGAAGCTGTCGATCCAAAGAAAACATAAGCACCAATAACATTTAAGAACCTCAAATGTCTCCACAGCTTGCTTAGTGTTTAGAATCCACTACGGATGGATGTTTTCCCTGTTATTTAAATAACTATACACTTATCCACTTTGTAAAAGGATGCATCACTTCATTTTATCGGACTGCAGCTTAGGTTAAAAATGTTATGCTCAATACTTAACAGTCCCTATCTTTCTCTAATTGTGAGATACAGGTTACAAGTTTTGCTTAGTGAAGAGATCACAACATTGCAAACAAAATGCTGATTAGAGAACTAGAGCAGACTGCCCCCAGTAAGGGAGAACTACAGTCTGTGCTGGCAATGCAAAAAACGTATTTCTATCTGAAACCCTAGACAATTTAAGATAAATGAAGGCATTCCATGAATACAACTTGGTGAGATTAATATCCGACTTTGGTTTAGCCTACACAAATCCTATGGCTGGGCAAATCCGTGGCTATTCAAGAACAGACTATCTCTACTTTTGCACTTTATGTCACCATTTCAGTGACCTCGGTTAGAATATGAATAATGATAAGGTGCCCTGCGTTTAGCTTAGGGAACAGTTATGTCACAGAGACTACACAGCTGAGCAAATGAAAGCATCAAGTGTTTTGGGGACTTTTTTTGTCTTTCTCTGGCAAAAAAGTTGACATTTGTGGTCAAGATTCTCATTAAACAGTTTTGGTTTGACTTCTGGACTCAGCACAAGAAGAAGAGGTAACTATTACCTGATCAACATATTTACAGCTAGAGTACAAGTTCTGCTTCTTTCACCAACAGACCTGGCCAACAATTAAGCACACTTGCCACCATATTGTCATATACATTCAATGGCCTAAGCCATGAAGCATTCTGTTCATGAGCACGGAGAACAGCTCTACAGTCTAATATGGTTGTTAATTCATCAGCTCCAGATTAATCTCAAGATTTTTGGTTCTGTGTGGCCTAGAAATACTGGTTTATTCTCTTCTGAATCATAACACTCTATTACAAAACACATTCTTCAGCTAACTCAGTCAAGTTTTATTAAAGTAAATTCAGTGGTTTAGAGTTACATTTCTGATGAGAGCTATGAGAAGAGAGTAGCTTAGACTTGTAACTTAGTTTGAACTATCTTAAATATGTACACTTTGGCAGACACACCACAGTATGACTTAACCACTCTTGAGAAGTCATGCAAAATTGGCTCGGTCAGCACTAAATCAGTCTAATTTTGGACAAGACTATCACAAGGTCCTCAAAGATAGGATTCTTTTTCTATGTATTTCTGCATAAACCTTAACAATCACAGCATGCAACTGGAATTTCTGAACATATATTTTTAATCACAGTATCCAGCTTTTGCTTGTATAAACCAAAACCAGCTGTCCTTTCAAAGTAGATAATGCAACTCCAGCCAGGCAATTTAACCTAAAGGCAACTTTAGAAATAAGTAAAAAATCACATAATGAAAGCTAACTGCCCCATAAACGAACTGTGCAAGCCTGGGACCAAACCCACTCTAGGGTGTTTCAAAGCCCATGTATCACCATTTACAAAACAGAGTAACCTATCCCTTAAACAATAACTGGGGGGCGGGTTGTTGTTTGCGAGGAGGGAAGGCCTTAAAGCACAAACAAGAATTACCACAAAGGCTCGCGAAAGCGAACACGCTGATGGTATGCACCAGCACCCGCGGCAGCTGTGCGGAACGGAACAGACCGGCGTTAAGCCTTTCCTATCAGCCAGGAACCGAGCTCTGGAATCCTCTCTGTTCCAAATATTTCATTTACACAAGGAGCAATTTTTCCTCTTACCTAATGGCTAGACAGACTCTCTGCTTTTACATATGGATTTAGATTACTTAGGAAGACTTCACAGAGGCTAGAAGTGTAAAGGAAAAAAATGCTGAGTTTTGCAGAATCTATTATAAAAAGGTTATTAAAAGTTATGACTTAATATTTTACGTTGAGAATGAACTGTCATGCATGAGAAACACTGAGGTCCTTCGAATGCCTAGTTTCAAAAATTTTTTTTCCCCAGCTCTCTTCTCAGAAAACCTGTTTTTTTAACTTTCTTATACATTCACTCAGATCCCTTCTCTCTCGATCTATAGATGTATATATATATCTTCTGACCGATAACATCTTCATAACCTTTTCGAACTACATATACCATATACCTCCAAAATTAACATCTTACGTTCAGCTTTTGTCGGTAATCCATCACTCAGGATACCCTTCAGACCCAAGCTGTCTGCCGTCCTAAGATGCAGAGCAATCCACTCACACACAACCCTATACCCTGTAGGTCTAGAATTTTTAACGATGCAAAGAAAATCTCTTTCTAGCCTCCCCCTCCTACTCCCTTTCACGCACTAGCTCTGAACCGCCGCGGGTTTCATACTTGCACTGTACTAGGAACACCTCTGAGCAGCCCCCGGCGCGGTACCGCTCCCGGCTGCTCTCCGCGAGGGTCCCTCCCCGCAGCGGGGGGAACAGGGGGGATCAGGGCCTCGCAGCGCTGTCGCGCCGCCGCTCCCACAGCCAGACCCTCTCCCGCTTCCACCTCCCCCGCAG